GGGGGGCTGTGTTGTTCCCCCCCCCCCCCCAAGCTTTCTTTATTCCTCCTGATGTGGGGAAGTTTTCAGAGAGATTCTGTCAGTTCACTTTAAAGCGGGGTCTTGCAATCACCAAATTGTGTTTGGCTCCAAATTGGGAGAAAGGTAGTGGGTGTAGGGGAGGGAAAATTTCTCTTCTGTCCTTCTGGAGTCTTCAGCCAGGCCTAAGGATTAAACTGATGTCAGGGGGTACACAAGAGAAAAGCATACGCATTTTATTACATTGTACATGTTCATGGGAGTCCCCACAAGAGCTGAAGAGCCAAAGAAACAGAGCTGAATGTGTGTGTGTGTATACACTGAATTATACAAAAAGAAGTAAATTATGAAAATGTGACAAGACACAGGGGCTCGAGCTGGAGCAGTTAGTGGTGGAAAAGTAACTAGGAAGATAAGAGGTAGGTTAACAAGGCTTATTTGTACTGATTTTTCTTGGCCTCGACTCCAGGTCTCTGGTGATAAGAACGTGGCTTTCCTCCTGGTATTGTGAGTTCACCCCCATCTGGGGGTTTTATCTCCCACTTTCAGGAAGAAAAAGGGGAGGTCAGAGCGCCCTAAGTCTTGGCTTAGTGAATGTCACTGTGGGGGAGGAAAGTAATTTTTCCTTCGCTCTACTAGGTTCTTGGCCGAGACACCCCTGTCTCAGAGAAGAAGAGCAAACGCATTTAATAACGTGTATACCCCCTGGGGACGGGGGAGAGACCAAGGACAAACTCTCCAAAAAGGCCCACGCCACCACCCTAAACATCTCTCCAGCTAAAAACAAAGATGTTGGGGGTGGGGAGTCCGTTACAGGAGGTCAGCAAGTGAAGCACTGTGAACGGTGCTTCAAACGTTCTGAATTAAGATAAGAGTTTCTAGAGACTTAGACTCATCTTGTCTTCCTGGTACAGAGAGGGTGCCGCCCTTGAAAATGGAGGGTTCCCTTGTGCGGCTATCAATGTTTCTTAAAAAAGAGTAACTTGTACTCAGTTTTCAGAGCTTCACCTGTATCTGTTGTTTATTTTTAAATAACCAGCTTAAAGTAAATGCCAAGAGGCCTATTTTAGGGAGGGCATATTTTGCTCCCCTTCACTATCGAAAACACATAAACCAAATGCCTTTCTACTGTAGATGCGCTTCTTCTCCTCCTTCCATTTGGAAACCTGTGTTTAGAAGTAACCCTAATCAAGACGATCTGTATTTAAGGAGCATCAAGAAAAGAAGAGCCTTGGCTTGCACTTAAGACAATTTGATTTGAATTTCCCTGCAGCTAGTGTTGGCAGGGTTAATGTGCTCCCGCTGAGAAGTCCCGCTGGTCCCTTCTGGCAGCCCCATATGCAGATGCTGTTATATTAATTACAAAAGAAAACCCGATTAACTCGGAAGTCCTTTAACTGTCAGTGAGACAGCTGCTCCAGCTCTGAACCAGGTTTTCTTCCTCCCTCCGACTGTCAGTCCCAGGTTTTGAATCTCTTCTTTAGAGAGCTGCTAAAATGCACTCTCTATAGGTCCTCGGAACCCCTGGCTAGTTTAGTCAACTTTTTGATCTGCAGTTATCATAGTCCAGGGAGAGCTTGCATGATTAAATTCACAGATCGTTTAAAATGAAAACAACCAGACCAGCCACCCACCCATCCCCCTCAGTGGTTCTTCTTTGACCCGTTAAAACCTGATGGCGCCCTGGAATTTTTGGAACTGGAAAGGATGCTAGGGATGATGTCACGCAGCTCCCTGAGTTCACGGAGGAGCAATCCAAGGCTGAGGAAACTCAAGTGAATTGCCAAAGTCACAGAGCTAGTGAGCGGTGGAACCTGGGATCCACTCCTCCCTCCAGAGCCCTTTGCTGAGAGAGGTGGGGAGCAAAATGATCTAGTGTTGACTTTGTTTCTGTCCGTGCGCTTATTCAAGCATTGGAGACCTATGTCGGAGATCATGAAAAATCTGAGTAGTGGCACAGAAACAAAGAGCTTGGATAGTGACGTGCTGAAAAACAGACGGCGACACCCACATTGAAGATTTTTCTTCAGTCTCATAGTTGCACGGAGAACTCCAGCAGAGTTCGTGAAAACAAAAATTAGAACTGGGCTCGGCACCAGCCCTCCCCCCTCGCCCCCCCCAAAGCACTGGTCTGTGGTGGTTTGACCCTAACTGGCTTGTTTGGAGTGGCGGTTTGTGTCACTACAGAGATTGGGGGGGAGGGTGATGATTTGGGTCAGATGATTAATGGGGTGTGTCTGCTGTGGTTTGGCTGATGGAGCTGGTTTTACTGGCTCTCCTATAGTTGGCACTTTGTCTCAGAGGTTTTGTGATCTCTCCCTCTGGTGCTGAAAAGTGATGAGCTGGTTTTAGTTCTCTGTTTATCCACTCTCCACGCTCATTTAGGTTTTTTTTGTTTTTGTTTTTGTTTTGTTTTAATGTGTCAACTTTCATTGTAGGAGTTATGAAGGATGTCAGTGTGGACTTTCACCTGGACATCTGTCTGTGAATCGAGCAGCACTGGGAAAGGAGGAAGGGATAGAAAGTGTGGGTGAAAGTGAATTTAGCCTTTTCATGGCTCATGTGGACACCATTGCAGCTAAATTCTGTGAGGTGAAGGGGAGGTCCTGGTCTGTTGTCCAGGTCCTCTCTCCGTGTTGACATGAAGGTTTTTAGGAATGACAGTTGCCCCTAAATATTCACCACGGTCTGGACTTTTCTGAGTACTTGGTGGAACTGCTTACAGCTTTCTGAAGATAATTCTCCACAATAAATAGATTCTTTTTTATTTTTTTATAAAACTTTTTAAAATGTTTTATTTATTTCTGAGAGAGAGAGGCAGCATGAGCAGAGGAGGGTCAGAGAGAGAGGGAGACAGAATGCGAAGCAGGCTCCAGGCTCTGAGCTGTCAGCACAGAGCCCAATACAGGGCTTGAACCACAAACTGTGAGATCATGACCTGAGCCGAAGTCAGATACTTAGCCAACTGAGCCACCCAGGTGCCCCCACAATAAATAGACTCTTTTTTAAAAAATATTTTTTACTGTTTTATTTATTTTTGAGAGAGAGAGAGAGAGAGAGGGGGAGACACAGAATCCAAAGCCACTCCAGGCTCTGAGCTGTCAGCACAGAGCCTGACGCAGGGCTTGAACTCACAAACTGTGAGAGCATGACTGAGCCAAAGTCAGAAACTTAAACATAAACTGAGCAAGCAAGTGCATTAACTTAGAGAGTACTTACTACTAGTCAGTCACTGTGCTGGGTGTTGAGGATACAGAGAGAAATATGGTCCTTCCTACTTTTGATCATTATAAACAGATAACTAGAATAGACCATGATCGGTGTTGTTTAGATAAAACAAGATAGGAAGGGACTCAGGACTAGCCCATTGCTACTTGCTAAGTGGTTGCACAATTGACCATGTCCTTCTCCTCTCCTCTCCTTCCCCCTTCCCGCCCCTCCCTGCCCCTTGCTTGCCCCTCACCCCCCTCTTCTTTCCTTTTTATTTTTAGGTAATTTCCCCACCAATGTGGGGTTCAAACTCACAACCCTGAGATTAGGAGTTGCATGCTCTACCGACTGAGCCAGCCAGGCACCCCGTCCCCTTGCTTTTAGATTGTGAGTCGAAGATTAGACCAGTGGTCTGGTGGGTTACTCTTGTGCTTGGTAAATACCTTGCACACAGTTACCACCCCTTGCTTTTTCAAAAGAACCCAGCTTTTGCCCAGGAGGGGAGATTTCCCTGTCTCGGTGTCCCGTGTTGCTGATACATGCGTGCCGGCCAGGTGCTGGACTTACAGACTGGCATGAAAGGAGGGGCCTAATGAGATGCACAGAGGGGTCTGGGTGAAGGTAGACTTCTAGAAACCTTTTGGCGGTGCCATGTGTGGAAGAGAAGGACGTTTGAGGATCTGTAATAGGAAGGTACATCCTGAAGCAGAAGAGCTTCTTAAATCAGAGCCCCCCCTTACGCGAACAAAGTGGACAGCTCAGGAATGGGGCAGCAGCTCACAGTGAGATGACTAAAGCGAATCCTTTTCAGTTGGTACCATACAGAGTTTCAGTAAGGGTGTGTGTGGCTGCCCAGGGATCAGCCTTCTTACAGCCTAAGAACCCGCGGTCTGGGCCTTTCTGAACAAACGCAGGGGCTGCGCGAATCCTAGGCAGGAGTGGGCACCGGCACCCAGGTCAGGAATGATTGCATTCAGAATGCATCTGAGTGTTTCAGGTCCATGAATTTCAGGTTCCTTTTCCCAGACAGAGGTCTCTCATACTTTAGGAACATACACCGAAGCCTTGCCCTCCATAAACCAAAGGAATGGTCAGGAGATACTGATCTTAACTGAGCGCCTGAAGCTTTAAGAGGACAGAAGACTTGGCAGCTGGGGTGCCGTCAGCCGCCATCAGAGAGCTGGACTGGAAAATCTGGAGCTTAGGCAAACTTGAATAACATTGTGTTTCAATATATGTATATGGAAAGATTAGCTCACACATTTCGTTTTAAATTATGCCATAAATGAGGAAGGTAACAAGCCAAACTTGCAGATGGTGGAGACATTTAAATGGGCCTTATGTTCAAGTGTTAGGTCTTCTGTCACAAAGGTTTTCATGTTGACATACTCGGTACAGTTTCCCCTCAGATTCACACCCGGGTTAGTGTAGTCCCTTCTGGCTCTGTCAGTTCAGTGATCTCGTGATTGCGATTGAGTCCTTGTATACTCCTTGGGCTGACCCACCACTGGATGTAAAAGGAAGGGGGAGGGATCAGGTCACTGCCACCTTTCTAGGTAGAGACACCTGCTCTGGGGACAAGCCAGGGAGGGGACGACTGTTTGATATTTGGGGAGCCTTCTCTGACTGAGTCATTTTCCTGATGTCTCGTCCAACCAAGAGCTTCTGAGATACTTCTTCCCTAGGGCCTGGGCATCCTGACTGGGTCTCTGTGCAAGTCTCTGTCTACCCCACTTCACTGTCTCTCCATACTCTCCACCCTCCCACCCCAGGCCAGCTGAGCTGCATTGCCTTTCCTGCTAAGGAAGAGAAGTACCTCCAGCAGATTGCAGACTGCCTGCCCTGCATCTTGATCCTCGGCCAGGACTGTGACGTCAAGTGCCAGCTGTTGAACCTGCTGCTGGGGGTGCGGGTGCTTCCCGCCAGGCTGGGCAGTGAGGAGAACTGTAAGCTGCGGCGCCTCCGCTTCACCTATGGGACTCAGACTCGAGTGAGCCTGGCACTCCCCGGCCAGTACGAACTAGTGCACACGCTGGTTGCTCATCAGGGCAACTGGGAGACCATCCCCGAGGAGGACCTGGAGGTCCAAGAGGAGGGAGAGGACGCCGCCCATGTTTTAGCTGAACTGGAGGTGACGATGCACCACGCTCTCTTACAGGTACTGGTCTCCTACCCCCTACGACAGTTGCACATGCACGCTCTGGCTTTCCCTGTAGCTGAGCTTTCACGTATATAGTCTGGGCTCCGGGCATCAGCTGATAGAGTGCATAGCCTAGGAAGCTGAAGACCAAGGCCACAGCAGTGCCCATCCCTGCCTCTGCTACCATGCTGCACCATCCTGAATGATGTGCTTGTCTCCTCGCCTCCGTATCTCCCTTTCTACTGCAGAAGGAATATGCTCCTTGCATCGTGACAAGCCTTCGCAGAATAACTATGGTCAGGGCTAGAAATCCTTTTTCATTTCTCAGCTGGAAGGTGTTGCTAGAATTGTCTCCAGCCATCCCTTTCTAAAAGGACTGATAAGGTAATAGATTAATAATGCTCTTACTAGAGCTGAGGCCGAGTGAAGAACCTTGTGAGGTTTTCTGTAGACCTGGCCATTATTTACCAAGTGGGACAGGTCATGTCTCCTACTTTCTAAGGAACTTGGGAGCCCAGCAACAAGTCTGGCTCAGCGTAAGGAGACAGGGAGGTCCCATCATCTGAGGACCATCTTTGCTTCTCTTTTGAAGTGAACTCCCGTGAGAGAGCACACCCCTCGCACCATCTTCCGAGAGTTCGTGTTGACTGTCCGGTATTCCTGTCTCCCCTTAGGAAGGCCTCAGCTGCGTGCCAGGCTTCCTCTCCTACCCCACAGCTAGGACTCACTAAGTGATTAGACTGAGTGAGGAGCAGCCGAGAATGTGACCCTGTTAGGGGTCAGGAGTGGGGAAGATTAAAAGAATGCAGACCTGCTCAGAACCTAGAGTCCCTTCGTGTTGCTTAGCTGTGCCCGGAAGGAAGGGCTAGTTTAGCAAGGCTAGGAGATTTGTTTCTTCTTTCTTGTAACCTCCTTACCTACCCGTGTTTTAAAATACCTGATCTCCCAGTTAGTGAATGATTTCTTTGGTTGTGACCATGGCCTTTGACACTCCAGAAGTAGAAACTGTCATCTCATTTCCTTCCAAAGACCAGATTTCTTTTATCTTGATAAATGCTACAGGGGCTCTGTGTACAAGCCAGTGTTTCCTCCGAGCTGAGTCTCAGCTCTCTTTTCCTCTGACCGAGAGCTCGCACTCCTTCGCTCCAGGGTGCCGAGAGGGCTCTTGGAGAACGCTGACGGTAGCTCTGACTGTAATCCTTGTTTCTTGACCGAGGCTGCTCAGTTGACCCGTGAGCTTCTTCACAGTTCACAAGTATTTGAGCCATACACAGTCCTCCGTGATGTAACGGCCTGGTCTGGTTCCTTCAGGTTCCAGTGGCTCAATGGTTTTCAGACTTTCTTAGAATTTTGTTCACTGGGGTCACCTGGCTGACTCAGTCAATAGAGCATGCTACTCCTGATCTTAGGGTTGTGAGTTTGAGCCTCACATTGAGTGTAGAGATTACTTAAAATATACGTGAGGAATTTCACTCACCGTAAGAAATAACACTTTATGTCAAGACCTAGTACATATGTACACATATACATTGAAATAAAATTTCCTGGAGCAATACTTTTACTTTTTACAAAATACACTGTTATCTTCTGTGTCCTAGTTGATTTCATTTAGTAAAAATGATGGCAGCACCCCTAAAGTTGATGCTGTGGAGCACTGCATTAGGACCTGCAGCTTAAAGAAAACATTGTTAGATAGCTGCTATGACTGCTCTTGTTTGGGCCATGATTCTTCCTGTTCTTGCCTTTTATTTTTATTTATTTATTCTTTTTTAAAAATGTTTGTTTATTTTTGAGAGACAGACAGAGTGCGAGTGGGGGAGGGGCAGAGAGGGAGGGAGACACAGAATCCGGAGCAAGCTCCAGGCTCTGAGCTGTCAGCACAGAGCCAGACATGTGGGACTCGAACTCAGGAACCATGAAATCGGTGACCTGAACCAAAGTTGGACGCTTAACCAACTGAGCCACCCAGGGGCCCCCCTGTTCTTGCCTTTTAAAAACAATCTTGGAATGTGAACAAAGCCACGTACAGGAGAGGCACGTTATTTGATTGATTTCTCTGGATCCCTTCATTTTATTGACTTTAATTTTTAATGCTCATTTACTTTTGTACCATGAATTGAAGTCATTCAAGTGAGTCCTGGACAGGAAAGTGAGAGCCATTCCCCAGGTGCCCATGTGAGCACTTATCTTACTGAGAAGAGCCCCCCCTTGCCTGCCCCCGAGGTGTGCCAAGCGCTCAACTGGGGTAACGGTTGAGGAGGCCAGTTGGTTGGGAAGTTGAGACACCAAATCAGCTTTTCCCTCCGAAATAAGTATTCTCTTTCTGGAGGAATATTCTTCACTTGTCTTGAGGAATTCTCTAGGCTCTTATGTTCTGTTTCATGTGGTTTATGGGGCTTCCTTAGCCAGTGTTTCTCCGGATCTGCTTTATTCTCCAGTGGTTTTGATGTAGAAATAGCAACGGACCCCAACGGTTCTAAGTTTGGATCCCCTTGATGCCGCACCTCAGAGAAGCCTAAGTAGGCTTTGTGGAGCTCGGGCCCTGCTCGCCACTGTGGTCGGCTTCCTGTCTTCGTTACGTTCACAGGTCTCAGTGCCGGGAGCGTTTCACAGCTACCTTGATTTTTGTGCCAGAGAAAAAGATGTTTTTTGTTTAGCTCCAGTTATTTTTAGGACGAGTGAGTTAGCTCTAAACAGCCCTTCCATTTGGTTTCTAGAGGGTGGTAAAGAAAGGAAACACTTAGCTCAAGGAAACCAAGATTGAATTAGGGGAAATGAGATGTTCATTTTCAACTGTCAAACTATCAAAGCAGAATTTCCCCCTACCCTCTTAGACAATGGTCATTCTTCTAATACAGTACTTGAAAGCTGTCATAAATCAGCCATTTTTGGTTCATTCCAGAAGAGGCTGGACCACACGGACCCTTAGTGTTTGGTCTTCCCAGCTTTGTAGCTCTGGGTCCCCTGAGATCCTCGCTTCATAATTCAGCAGCAGAGGGACACAGTCAAGCCATTACTTTCTAGAACCTCATCTTGTGTTAAAACTCATTTTCCAAACAGCGACCTGTTTCGCCGTCCACCACGCTCACTGGGTCTGTCTCCGTGTACACACTTTCCCTTCCCCACTCTTGCCCCCTTTCTGGCACGTCCACTACTGCCTCCTCTTACAAGTGCGGTGAGACACCGGTGTTGCTTCAGAGTTTCCCCTGTTGGGAGTGTGTGTGTGTGTGTGTGTGTGTGTGTGTGTGTGTATTTTTCCTGAGAATGCCTATAAGAAAAGGAGTAGAAAGGAGCTGAAATGATTCAACTTTCTAAGTCTGAGCCTGGCCTCCTGCAGCCTGGCTGTGGCATCTTACTTATGGTGGCACTTATTGCTGACAGCTACCCTGCTGGCCTGTGTGTCTCCACCCTTTGGACGAGTGTACATCTCACCTGCAGCCAAACTGCCACATGCTGACTTGGTCATTGGCTCAGGGCTGTCCGGCAGGGTGTCTTTCAGGGAACTGAGGTGGACTAATGTTTCCAGGCAAGGTCTAATGACATGCACATAAACCCCTTCTTTCCCCTACTATTTTTAACTCTAACCAGTTGGAATAGTGAAGCTTTCTCTTTATAACCGTCAGTGAGCAGCTAGCAATGGAAATCATCTATTTAAAAAAATTTTTTAGTGTTTATTTATTTTCAAGAGAGAGGGTATGTGAGCGGGGGAGGGACAGAGAAAGAGACAGAATCTGAAGCAGGCTCCAGGCTCTGAGCTGTCAGCACAGAGCCCGACGCGGGGCTCAAACCCACGAACCATGAGATCATGGCCTGTGCTGAAGTTAAGTGCTTAACTGACTGAGCTACCCAGCTTCCTTGGAAATAATCTACTTTTAATTCTTATTTTTTTTTAAGTTTATTTATTTATTTTGAGAGAGAGAGAGAAGGATAGAGAGAGAATCCCAAGTAGGCTCCACACTGTCAGCACAGAGCACACAAGACGAGGCTCAAACCCACAAACTGCGAGATCATGATCTGAGCCAAAACCAAGAGTTGGATGCTCAACTGACTGAGCCCCTTAGGTGCCCCAGAAGTAATCTGTTTTTAATGTCATACAGACATTTAATTTCTCAGCGGTCAATGCTTTCACAACTCAAAATCATAAAGAATTTTACTTAAAATAACAAATTTATGCAACATTTTAACCTCTGAATTTACTAAACAGTGTTGCTGGAAAACCAACTTCTCTCAAATTTTTGTCTAGTTTTTGACATGTATGATGGTGCCGTATAAAACTCAGTGTGTTGTGTGTTGCTTCCATTTGATTAGACACCACATCTTCTCCTGAATGTCTTTAGATTGAAAGGTAGCGGTCAATTGGTAAAAAGTCGGGAAGAAAGCTGGGTGAAGGTTCTTGGGGCAAGAAGATACCTTTTAGGAAGAGATAGTATATGGAATTACATAAAAAACAGCCATTCCAAGGGAAAAGACCCCAAGTTGGGGTAATATGTACAAGGTAAAGAATGATACTCGAAAGATAGAATTACAATAAGGAAACCGTGATTTTATGGGGCAAAGACAAAGGGGAACTAAAGTGTCATGTTAATAAAAAGTATTGGAACTTCAAATAGATGTGAAATTATAAATTTCTTCTGGGCAGTGAGACTGTACTCAGCACACTTAACTTCTCTCTTGCCTTTCCCCTGATGCGCAGTAACACATGCAGCAGGCACTAACCAGCCTGCATACGCTGTTCTTGGCCAGGAGACCTACAAATACCCACCGTAGGTTAATTTCCCTATTAAGGTTATATATAGGTGGTTTAGAGGCAAGTTAGATTTTTTTCTTGTTTTTTGGGTTTGTTTTGTGTTTGTGTTTTTTCTATGCCCACGACAAAGTAAAAAGAACAGCTTGAATCTGAGGCTGTGTTTTCTCAGTTCACCACCAGCACTTCCCATGTGGCCGTCCAAGGTGAGCTCTTAGGGAGAAAGTCTGCCAGAGATGATAGTCTTCATCTTCTTCTTTCGACTGTTTTCCAG